TCTTTTAAATTCTGGAACATTTAATCCCCTCATGTTCGTGGTATTCCCACCTTGGCTAGATTTAAAGCTGCAATTCCTCTAAAAGCTCTCAAAGTTTCTTTTTTAATCGAGTTATTTAAATTGTGAAACCTTTTACCCGATCATGTTCGTGATATTCTCACTTTACCTAGATTTAAAGCCATGATATTAAAGCCGTCATTTCGGCAATTAATTTGACTCCTCTGTGATTCTTTCTTAAAGTATCTTTTTATCTTTTGGAGTGTATTTTGAGCGATTTCCTGGGTGATTATTATGATCTTTTTTGTCGCTATTCAACTGAAAGCATATATATGTTGTGTCCGATTTAGATTGAACTTATCGCGGACGTCCGATTTAGATTACAGTCTATATCGGACGTCCGATATAGACTGTAATCAATAAAAGGCCCTTTTGAAAAATGCAGAAAACTACAGAAAACGCTTAAGAAAATAGATTAAGCATGTTTATATTATTGTTCAATCTATATAAGATTTAGATTGAATCTAAATCGAAATCTAAATCGGACACAACATATATAATCTTTAAATCTTTAGTTTCAAAAGAAACCTAAGCTTGATAGCTTGATTATCTAACGCTTGATAGCTTGATTGCTTGATTGCTTGATAGCTTGATAGCTTGATTGCTTGATAGCTTGATTGCTTGATTGCTTGATAGCTTGATTATCTAAAGCTTTAAATAAGAAGTCTCAATTCTTTATCACACAATAGTTTAGTTACCCAATATCATCATTAGTTTCTCTCCAAAATAACAAATAATCTCCCTAATCTTTTCCGATTTTAATATTTCCCAAAGAAAAGAATCATTTTCTTGTGAAGAAAGTCGCCTAGGATACCGGAAAAGAAGGAAAACTGTCTTGGTTTTAAAAAAGGAAATGAAGGGGTTGATGACTTCAATGTACTCATTCCCATACTTTTTGAACTTATCAGAAATCTTTGCAATAACAAATTTCATTCTAACAGTTTTAAAGGTCGCCTAGGACAGTTTTAAAGATCTCTTTGCTTCAAAATGCTTCAAAATTCAAAATGCTCAACCTCTTTGCTTCAAAATTTGATCTTTATATCATTACAGCAAAATCATTACAGCGAACACCTTTTAAATAGAGATAAAATAGTGTTTTTCTTTTGATATTTTTATTTGGCTTGTAAGCTTGTAGGCTTGTAAACCTTCTCCTTAAGTCTTTTCGATCTTCAAGAATCTCTAAACTGAATCACCAGATATCAAAACGATCTTTTGTGACTTTTTTCTAGTAAAAAGCTATGTAATTCACCTTTTAAATCAAGATTGATTTCAAGAAAAGTCTCTTTTTTTGAGTATTTTCAAATAAAAACTGATTCCAAAAGAAATAAAAGGCTTTTAGACTTGAAATTGTTTGCAGAATCCAGTAGACAATCCAGTAGACATTCAGTAGACAATCCATTAGACAACCCAGTAGACAACCCAGTAGACAATCCAGTAGACAATCCAGTAGACATTCAGTAGACAATCCAGTAGACAATCCAGTAGACATTTAGTAGACAATCCAGTAGACATTCAGTAGACAATCTAGTAGACAATCCAGTAGACAATCCAGTAGACAATCTAGTAGACAATCCAATAGACAATCATACAAAATTCACTTGAAATTTAGAAGAAATATATGATGTTTTGAGAAATGGTTTTTGGGGTTTTTCGGTTTTTGCTTTTGGTGAAGCGGGCAGTGGCATAGCTTTGTAATATTAATACATTACAATACCTTTACTTGCTACAATACTCATCTATTCCATCATTGTTATTGTTCTTCAGTACTCATGTATTCCATTTAAGTTATATCCCGAATCAGCAATAGCTGTTGATGAGATCTTGTTCGTCTTTTTTGGTGGTTGAAAATTGATAGCTTCTCTGATAGCTTCTCTGATAACTTCTTTGATAGCCTCTTTGATAGCCTCTTTGATAGCTTCTCTGATAGCTTCTCTGATAGCTTCTCTGATAGCTTCTCTGATAGCCTCTTTGATGGCTTCTCTGATAGCTTCTCTGATAGCCTCTTTGATGGCTTCTCTGATAGCTTCTCTGATAGCCTCTTTGATGGCTTCTCTGATAGCTTCTCTGATAGCCTCTTTGATGGCTTCTCTGATAGCTTCTCTGATAACTTCTTTGATAGCCTCTTTGATAGCCTCTTTGATAGCTTCTCTGATAGCTTCTCTGATAGCCTCTCTGATAGCTTTTCTGATAGCTTCTTTGATAGCTTCTTTGATAGCTTCTTTGATAGCTTCTTCTAATTTTTGAAGTTAGAAATGTTTAATCAAATCGATTTATCGTAGTTTCTTCTTGATTAGTACAACTTATAGTACAAGTTGAGTTCAACCAGCAACAGATCATTATCTTCTTTCCATGAATATCACTTTCAGAGTGGTTTCACCGGTAGATAGCCATTGGTTCTTCCTTTTGAAATTCTCATTGAAAATCTCGTAATTCATCCAAGTTTCAGATGTTAATGATCTTCGTTTTAGTGACGATAGTGAATCTTTGCTGTTCTGTCTTCTGTTCTGTATTCTGTTCTGTAAAGAGTTCTGTATTCTGTTCTGTAAAGAGTTCTGTATTCTGTTCTGTAAAGAGTTCTGTATTCCCCAGACTACAATATCCCAAAAATGCGCCCAATTGTGTTCATATCTTTCGATCAGCAATATCAGCGATCACGATTTTTTATCTAAGCCTTCTAAAAGCCTTTTCATCAAGAGAGATCATTGTTTGAACTTATTTCCCCCTCACCTCACCTGTGCTTTTGTCTTTTTGTGAGAAAATTGGAATTTCTTTTTCTTTTTCTTTTTCTTTGTACTTTTTTCTTTTTCCCCGTCTCATTATACAATTATATGGATCAAGAAAAGCTAAATTTTCTTTTGATTTCTTTGATTTTTGATGTTTCTTATAAGATTTTTCTATTTATAAGTGAATTTTAAAAGATTTCATTTATCCAATTTCAATTCTCAATTCAATTTCTCTTCTTTTCTTCTTTTCTTCTGTTCAACTGCAAGAATTTCTATCAAAAATTGAACACCGTATTGTCTGTAATAGTCGTGCGCACTTTTTCAAGCCCCTTCCAGCCTGCACTACTATTCTAGACTGCACTAGTATTACAGACTGCACTACTATTACAGACTGCACTACTATTCTAGACTGCACTAGTATTACAGATTGCACTACTATTATTATATACTGCACTACTATTATGGACTGCACTACTATTCTAGACTGCACTACTATTATACAGTGCGTTTCAAATTCTTAAACGCACCCTCTAAAATAGCGGATTTTGCATTTTGACCACCGCTACAACTATTAATCTTTTTCTATTAGAAAGAGCATGTCTTAAAACCTAAATAACACGAAAAAGAAGCATACTGTAAAAAGTAAAAATTTTCAAAATAGAAACTTTTTGCTAAATCAACCGTTTCAAATTCTTAAACGCACCCGCCTTTGCTGTTGTTATTTGAAATTTTTCGTTTTGTTGTGCGTATTTTTTTATTAAATTTATAATTTTTGTTAATTTTCAGGTAAATGGCACACGGAAAGCTGCTCACGGATTATGAGAAAGGCCAGATTGATGCCCGTTTGAGCATTGGCGACTCAATAAGGAAAATCGCAAAAAATTTGGGCCGATCCGACTCTGCCATGCGAAATTATATAAAGTCCGAGTTCGTTTCTACACCAAAGAAGAAGCCAGGACCAAAACCAAAGCTTACACCGCGAGCTAGACGCCATATTATGAACAACATCCAAGGAAAAACGATCAATGAAGTGAAAACGGAACGGAAAATCGACTCTTCGAAGTCGAAAATTTGGCGAGCCATCAAGGAAAAACGCACATATCGATCAACAATTATTGAACATCCAACCGACCGTGAAGCTTTTGCACAAGAAAGCCCGATTGGCCTTCGCCAAGACTCATATGAATCAAAATTGGTCTATGGTTGGAAATCCGCTTATGTTTTATTATTTTTTTGCGTTTAGGTGATCTTTTCCGATAAGAAGAAATGGAATTTGGATGGCCCCGATGGCGTTGGCTACTATTGGAGGGATCTTCGACGTGATCCGATGGTGTTTGGAACTCGAAACTTTGGCGGTGGTTCTGTGATGGTTTGGGCCGCCTTTTGTGCTGATGGAACGGTCGCTCTGAAGATGGTTTCGAATCGGATGACTAGATAGATATCTTGAACAATTGCTTGTTGCCATTTTGGCTCCTAAATCCAACCGTTCCCGATTTGTTTCAACACGACAACGCGTCAATTCATCGAGCCGGAGACACCCTGAACTGGCTGAACAGCAACAACATTGCAACTTTGGACTGACCCGCTCAGTCTCTTGACCTCAATCCGATAGAAAATTTATGGGGAATACTTGTCCGAGCTGTCTACAAGAATCAGCGTCAGTTTCAAGACGTTTCTGCACTTAAAGCAGCAATTTTTTCGGCCTGGAGCGATCTCGACGTCTCTGCTCTTCAAAACCTCATCAATTCAATGTCAGACCGCATTTTTCAAGTAATTAATCGTTCTGGTGCGTGTACAGATCATTAGTTTTGATTTTTTACCTTTGATTTTTAATTTTTGTCGATAAATAAAAATATTTTCATAGTGCGTTTAAGAATTTGAAACGGTTGATTTAGCAAAAAGTTTCTATTTTGAAAATTTTTACTTTTTACAGTATGCCTATTTTTCGTGTTATTTAGGTTTTAAGACATGCTCTTTCTAATAGAAAAAGATTAATAGTTGTAGCGGTGGTCAAAATGCAAAATCCGCTATTTTAGAGGGTGCGTTTAAGAATTTGAAACGCACTGTAGACTGCACTACTATTATAGACTGCACTACTATTACAGACTGCACTACTATTCTAGACTGCACTACTATTACAGAAAATACGGTAATATAGATTTTAAATGATTGATATTATAGCATTATCATGATTTTTAACATCTAGAATTTTGATTGAAGATGCCAGTCGATTGCCGTGTTTGCACCAATCCAAAAGGCGTCTTTCGGTATTATGGAGCCTCCGTTTGCGCGTGAGTCGTAAATCTTTCACAATTTACTTACTACATTTCAAGTTCTCTAAGTAAACCCTTTAAAAATCTAGTTTCCAATCGAAAAGTTCTTTATTATTAGACCATGTAAAGTGTTCTTCTTGCGAGCCGTGCAGCATGGGGACAAATACGTTTGCCAAAGGGACGGACATTGCCCAGTGACTCCTGGTAATGAAAAGGGTTTTCACTTTTCAAATTTACATTTGAAAGCTTAAAAGAAATCTACTTTTGTTAAGTAAAAGTCGAGAATTTTTAGAAAGATGGACGAAAATTTGTCGAGCATGTCGCTTTCAGAAATGTTTGGCGGTGAAAATGGATCCAAAGGGTGAATTGAAACAAAAATCTTTACAAATCAAAGATAATAAACGGATTTTTGATATCCGATAATGTTAATTTCAATTCAGCTGTCGGGATTTCGAGAAGCAAAGAGAAATTGAAGAGAATCAACTCCACCGAGCTCACGACGACAACGAAAATGATTAAGCGCGAGATTTTGGTTTGATTTTTTACAATTTAAAATAATATATAGTAAATTTGATAAAGAAATCTCTTAAAATTTCTTTAAGAGCTCAGTTTTTAGATTTGAGAAAGAGTTTTAGAATGAACTTTATCATAGTTCTATCAGTTTTTGTTATCCTTACTGGCTTTAGCTAGCTTTTAGGCTTAGGCTTAGACTTGGCTTAGGCTCAGGATTGGCTTAGGCTTAGGCTTAGGCTTGGCTTAGGCTTGGCTTAGGCTTAGGACTAGGTTAAGGCTTAGGCTTGGGCTTGGCTTAGGCTTGGCTTAGGCTTGGACTTAGTGCGTAGGCTAGCGGCTAGCGCCTAGCACTAAGGCTATTTGGGTTTGGGCTAAACCCCCATTTTCTGGATCTCAGCCAGTTCCCGGAGCTAAGGCACACCCGCTTGGCGATGCTCATGCGCCCCTTAGGCTTAGGCTTAGGCTTGGCTTAGGAAAGACTGTGAAATATCAATATAAATATCCTAAAGTACAACACTTTTAGGATGATGATACTCCTTGCATATCTGAGGATTTCTTCTCGATTCCCAGTCCACCCGATCTCTTGGATATGGAGTCTCAAGCGCTCACACTCACCACAAAACAAAGACAACCGAAAATTGTAGGTTTTGAAAGGAAATTGAAACTAAACTAAAGATCTAATCATTTTTTTTGGTAGATCTGAGCGCTGATTTTAAGGTTCCTATCGATGAAAACCAAAGGCCGGTAGCGCCTCTACAAACCATAATGCTCGCCGGAAAATGTGCCCGTTGAATAATTTCCGATGCTAGAAACCTTTGACTACTCTTCCTGAAGAAGTGGTGGTCATTTTGGCAATTGAACTCGTGCAACAGTAAAAATGTTCTTATCTGTGAAAACAACTTGCCTTCAACGACCACGGCTTGTCAAGCGAAGCATTTCCCGGACTAGCGTTGCTCTTTTTTTTTCTTTGCTGCTTTGCTAATTTGTAACTATGCATGTTCAGCTTGTTCTTAACAATAAAATTGACCCTTTCTTGACTGATTCCAAGCTCTTTCGCAAGTTTCCACATCGATTGTTTGGGGTTACGTTTAACACGGGATTGAACCTTGTTGATGTTTCGTGAAGTAATAGCAGTTGGAGGTCTTCCACTCGGTCGATCTTCGACATTTCCAGTTTCAGTAGCGTTTACTTAGCGTCTCTTTGTAGTCTCTTTGTTCCTTGTTCTTTGTAGCGTCTTCAGATCATCATCAGATCATCAGCCGTCATCAGATCATCAGCCATCAGCAGATTTGAATGGGCAACTTTGTGAAGATGAATCACCGTTTCTCTACTTAAAATAGAAACAAAACCTTTAAATTATAAGTTAAAAGAATAAGAAAGATCTAAAAGAAGCAAAAAAGCAGCAAAAAACAGCAAATAAACTTTAAAATTAGCTCGGAATACATAAAAAATTAGTTTCAGAACTTTTCAGGCACCCTGTAGACCATTTAGAAAACTGTTTGAGTCAAAGAAACACATTTCTCTAACTCAAACAGTTTTCTAAATGATTTTCTACTGCCGTAATCCCGTAATCAACTTTTAAACTGAATCAATCAATCAATCAATCCAACAATTCAGCAAATTTACTCAGGAAATCCTCCTCCCCTCTACAGCGATCGGTTTCGATTTCTTAAACTTTCTAAAAGGCGACAACTTCCCGGAAATCGTCTCGAAATTGGTGGAACTTGAAAAGTAAAAGATTTCTATTATATTATGATTTCTATTAGCTTTTTTTTAGCAAATGCTATGCTGACACTCAGCCGTTCTTTGAAGATTCAACTGTATTAAATGATAATCTTGATGTACCGCTACATGTGGCAATGAATGATCCGCTGAGATTGGGAATGAGGACACCGGTTGGTTGAACAGCTAGCAATTTTGCGAGCTCATCCTTCAAACTTTTAGCTTGATTGGCTAAGCCACGAGCAATTGTTGCCATCGATGGTGGACGCAATCAAGAGGCAATATTGCCGACTCACCGTTTATTACATTGATTGGCTGAGAGCGATTCCCGATTTGCAAATGATGACACAAAGTGATCAAGTGAGGGAAGGGAAGCAATAGCAATAACAAAGGGGAAGCAATAACAAAAGCCCAGCTCTAGCATTTTCGAGCTAGCTTCGGATTTTTGCAAAAAATCTGCACGAAGTGGGATTCGAACCCACGCATCCGAAGATACCAGAAGACCCGAACCCGCCTTGCCTGCGGGAAGCTGCTCGCTTGAGTCTGGCGCCTTAGACCACTCGGCCATCCGTGCTGTGTGGGAGTGCGAGAAAAACGGTCTTTTGATGACCAGAAATTTGCTTTTGGCTTTATTGTTGTTCTAGTTTTAGAATATAAATGTACTTAGATTTAATGAAAAATAAATAATTTACAGTAGAATGATACTCCATTAAAAGGTTGGGGGTATCCTACGATACCCCCAACCTTTTAATGGACATCCTAGGATACCCCCAACCTTTTAATGGACATCTTACGATACCCCCAACCTTTTAATGGACCCACAACCTTTTAATGGACATCCTACGATACCCCCAACCTTTTAATGGGGTATCATTCTACTTGGGGGTATCCTACGATACCCCATTAGCTTTAGAATATAAATGTACTTAGATTTATTGAGAAATAAACAATTTACAGTAGAATGACTTATCTTATTTATGATTGCAGTTTAAATTGCAGCTATTTCTTTGGATCAGAAGATCTTAATTGAAAGTTATTCAACTAAAAAGAAAGAGCGAAAAAAAGAAGAATAGAGAGCCTGATTGTCCCACCTTTCGATCAGACCAATTCATCTTAGCACAATTCCTGAAAATCGCCGCCAAAGAATGCAGATCAGCTGCCACCAATTCCTCACCGTTCTCTAAAGCAGTTTTGATTTTAGAATGTCTATAGAATCTCAATCGCAGCTGTTTTTTCGACAAAACAAACAAACAAACAAACAAACAAACAAACAAACTAGTAAAAACTTAAATTGAAAAGTTAAAGCGCTTCTGATATAGTGCGATTCATAAAAGATATTCAGTTAATTTAATTTGCATTAATTAAGAGAAATCATTTCATTAACCTTTAAACGATTAAAAATTTGGATACTTGTCGGTTATAAATTCACAAAGACTCATCTCGGTTAAGCATCCCCATCCGAGTCTTCTCGGTTATCGATTCTCCTTCGACTCATCGATTAATCACTTCAGACGAGCACTCTACCTCACTGAGCATTCACTTCACTGAGCATTCACTTCACTGAACCCCCCACAAGTTGTCAGCTTCTTGCTTAACCGAGTTGAGTCTCTGGATTTTCTGTGGATTCTCTTTGAATGTATAACCGACAAGTACAAAAATTTGTTAAATGCAAATTTATTCACAAGGAACACGAGGAATCATTAGATATCTTTTACAAATGATTTATTCATTTAGATGAAAATCATAAGCACTCAACTCTGCAAGATCCTTCTCACAACGATGATGTATCAGGTAAATCTCAGTGAACACTTATTGATCAAAGTTTTAAACAGAAAACAGATTAAAGATTTGAATTAAAGCCAAAAGAGTACTTTTATATAAACTTCTATCATTTCATCCTTTTCATAAGATCAATCACAAAAGCTAGGGCCCTCAAGTGCACTAGCTAGTAACTATTTACAGATACTATGGTCAAGACCAGGATTAGGACTATAACTAGCCAATAACTAGCCAATAATTAGCCAATAACTAGCCAATAACTAGCCTATAACTACGTATTCGGTACAGTATTAGCTTCTGTGCAAAACTTCGAATTCATTTCTCATTCAGACGTACAAAAGTAAATCGCCGGGTATCGCCTTCTCTTGTGGACGTCATTATATAGCTGGAGAGAATAAAAAGGCTGGAGTTGGACATGAGTGAGTTATTAAAGCAATCGATTTCTAATCTTGAAACTTGGATTTGAAACTTTTACAAACAAAAGGTGGCTTTTTTGACAGCTTGTTTAGATTCGATTACTTTCTGGATCGATTGGCTCAATATGGACACGAGAAAGTGATATCTGGTGTGGAAGAAATGTTCTTTATTTATAAATTTTCTTTATTTAGTCTTTCGTGACACAAATATCACAATTGATGAGTTTTGTTTGTTGAAAATGATCGCTTTCTGGAGTGGAGGTGAGATTTCAGGCAGGCTGAATAGGCTGAATTTCAAGCATCGAAGAAAATAGGCTCAATTTCAGGCATCGAAGACAATAGGCTCAATTTTAGGCTTTCAAATCACCGATGATGGAATGGCGATTGTACGAAGCGCAAGGCATAGATATGAACAGGTTTTTTTGATAGAGCAAAAGTCTATAAAGTCTACAAAATATTAGCTTCTTCCGTACAATTCAAATTTCAAGCTTATTCCAATCTAGCTTTTCCAGATCTTAGTCTCTCACATCAACGAGAAATACCCGTACCTAACGAAAGAGGGACGAGCGATGAGATTGCAGAAGTTGATCGGTTTACAGCCATGCTTTGAGGTTTGTTTTGCGGGCGTTAGTCGGTTTTGGCTTATTTCAAATACAAGACAAGACAAGATTTACAATATTTTAAGGCTCAGCTGTTAATCTGTAGAAGACTTCCCTATTCTAGCCTACAGCAAGCTGAGAATCAGCTGGCTTGTCATTCAGCTGGCTTGTCATTCAGCTGGCTTGTCATTCAGCTGGCTTGTCACTCAGCTGGCTTGTCACTCAGCTGGCTTAATCCCGTAGGAATACTGTAAACCGGGTCTTTGTCTCACTACTGTATTTACTATACATAAAAGAGCAGTGTCCGTCTAAACGGGTCGTCCATGGGCCTTTCTCAACCATCTTTGGGTCTTTTTCAACTGGGCCACAAGAACTGAAATTTTTAAAGTCTTAAATATAATATTAATACATTTCTCATTTGAATTTGTTTTGATCAATAAAGCTAAAACTTCTTTAGAAAACCTTAGAATCTATTGTAGTTGTGCCATTAAAAATAAAAAATAGAACAGCATGGGACCCCAACCCGGGCCATGTGTGCGGCACACTACCGACTACGCCACGAGGACAACAGATGTCTAGCCAGAAAAACCCGTTGTTAGCCGGGTTCTTCGGCTGGTAGATACGATAAGACTGAATATCTTTAGCTTGACTGTAGAAGGACTTCACTATATCTTCACTCGGGGCTTACTGTAGAAGGCTTACTGTAGAAGGCTTACTGTAGAAGGCTTACTGTAGAAGGCTTACTGTAGAAGGCTTACTGTAGAAGGCTTACTGTAGAAGGATTGCTGTTTACGGTGGCTAGCCTACGGTATCTTTCCCTGAATCTTCTTCCTTTCCCTGAATCTTCTTCTACAATTGAAATCATTTTCCAGACAATGGGCATCTTCGATAACACATACGTTCAACGAATGATCATGATGGATATCGGAGGATTTCGAGCACAAATCACATATGATGTTCATTTGAGAGAATATTAAAGTTAAAAGAGTTCTATTCCTTTATTTGTCTTACGCTAGTCAGTCTACAGTATCTTTGATTGAATATCTTTAATTGAATATCTTTAATTGAATATCTTTAATTGTATATCTTTAATTGAATATCTTTCTCGCTATCTCAACGGGTACTCAACTGGAAATGAAATCCCTTTTTGATCTCAATGATTCGTTTTGTCTCAAAATAAAGCATCGATTCTCTCTCAAATTTCAAAACTAAACTTTATCTAAACACTTTGCAAACGAGTTTTCAATAGAAAAACGAGAAACCAAATTGCCAAAAGCTGCTTTCTAAAAAAAATGGCGATAATTAGCCTGGAAAAGAAACTCCTGACTACAGTATTTTCTCGCTGTACTTTAGCCTTTTCATTTCAAAGCACAACAAGTTTACCGTGAATCAAGAAAAACTCGCCGTTAATTGCAAGATTTCAAGTACAAAAGTTTTATTTTTACCACAATTACTGAGAATCCCACCGTTTTATTCTCGCTTTTCTCAGATAAACGAAAGATTTGTACATACTGTGTTCACCAATTCAACGTCAATTTCGACGTCAACGTCTTTACATTTTCTTTGAAAACATTCTTTGTTCCTGTTGAAGACATTCTTGTTCCTGTTGAAGACATTCTTTTTCCTGTTGAAGACATTCTTGTTCCTGTTGAAGACATCCTGTTTTCTCGTCCTTGTTCAGATTTCATTGGCTTTCAATTCTTGATTCTTTGCAGTTTCAATAGTTTCCACGATTGTGCACAATACTTGGGTAATTAAACCGGCTTCAACGGTTTTCCGTCGGTCGTCCATCTACCCTATCTAGTGCAATGTGCCAGATGCCGCTTTTTCTTATTAGCGATGTCAAGGGTACGCACAAGGAAGACATACAATCATAAGAAAGATCAATTTTTTCACCCAAAATTTGAATTTTTAATAGAATCTGATTGTTTTCTTTCAAAGCTATTAAAGGCTTTCAAAATAGTAAATAAATAGCCAATAAATAAAGAAATGAAAGCATTTTATCAAGCAAAACAAACAAAGTTCAAGAGATCAACATTTTTCATAAGTTTTTCTAAAAAGTTTACGTAAATCTGAGCATTTTTAAAATTTAAATATCCAAATATCCAAAACTGATGATTTTTTATCTTTTAATTGCTTAATTTCTACAAAATCCCCCATCTATTTATGCAAAAATGACCGTTGATCGGAAAATCGTTGATTGTTAATCAGAAAATTGAAAAAACTTTTACGTATTCGAGCAAAAAACACATCTAATTCTTAGAAAATCTATACAATTTCACTTTTAAAAACTTAATCCCTTTTCTTTTCCATTCTAAACTCTCATTTGTAATCTTTTTAAACCAAAAGAACAACAAGTACACGAGAAAGAAAATTGCTTTCAAATTTTTAACCTTTTAAATCATCTATCTGTTTTTTAAATCAAGTTTTTTTGTTTTTTTTTCAACTTTTAATAACCAAATTCAACTGCATTTAGCTTTGGAAGCTATTGAGATCAATATTTACATTGAAAATGCTCAGACTTAGTTCAACTATAGCTAGACATTAAGATCTTTGTTATAGTTAGTTAAACTCTGTTTCTAGTTAGTTTAACTCTGTTCCTAGTTAGTTAAACTCTATTCTAGTTAGTTAAACCTACTAGTTAGTAAACAGTTAGTTAAACTCTGTTTCTAGTTAGTTAAACTGCCGCTGACTCGGCTTTTACCCGATGCTCAGTAATATTTTCGTTATTTAGCTCTTTGTTTTGCGTAGAAAAAGTTAGACTTAAAAATCCTTTAATTGAATTTTTATTTAAATCTCCGCCACTCAAAGAACACTACGTATTCGGTGATCCCAAGGGGGAAAGACCTTCAATTACCCTTCAATTACCGCGAATCAGTCTCGATTTCTTTGAAGACGTCTTTGAAGAGTCAATTTTATTCTCTAATCAACACCTAGAAATTTTGAGCTCATTTTGAGAGCTCATTACAGTCGAAATTCTCTATAACGACCTTCTACAACGATTTTGAAATTCTAAAAGGTGCTCAATTAGGTACAATCGCTGCCCGCACATTACAGCTGCCCCAGATACGCAGAAAATTTGAGGCGCGTTTTAGAATTGTTATATAGAGATTTTCGATTCTTTCGATTTCGTTAGAGAAGATTTTCGACTGTATTTGCAAATTGAGTCACCAGTTTAGTTTGCTTTACCGTAACCCCTGCATTGTCTGAATCAAAGTCGCTGCAACACTGACCCGATCGGAGCTTGAAATCAATTTCTTTCGGCCATACAAAGATGCCGTTTAAGTGACGACTTAACTCTTCATTCCATCGATGACTTCTCCCCTTGGCCGCCCCCCGTGCCCCCCTTTGGAAAAATTAAGGATTTTTGAAGCCAAAATAGTTGTCGATCGCTTTTTTTGACTTTTTTTTTGACTTGAGCATGATCATCAAACTTTTCTCCCATCATAAACTGCTTAAGGAACTGAAATAAAAAGTAATCTAACGGGGCCTAAGTCAGTAAAACGCATGAGAAAGCAACTTCCAGTCCAACTCGTTAATTTTTATCAATGGCTTGCAGTGTGGGGTTTCGTGCAAAAATCGAATCTCTGATGGATTAAGCCCCAATTTCTTTAAAGCTTCGTTAACTCTAGTCAATTGTTTTGAATAGAAATCAAGATCAATGTTTTCTCCTGGATTAGCTAACTCATAGTGCACCAAAGTCGATTCCATCAGCGAGAGGGCATTATTTTCTTTCTATGGATTGGGAGTTAGGTTTGGGATTGGTTTGGACTGTGAATAGGCATTGGTTTGGACTGTGAATAGCCATTGGTTTTTCCTTTTTGACAACATAACTGATGATTCAGATGTCGAATCTCAAAAAGCAGCGGCTTTCCATCTATGGAGTCTACGGAGCAAAAAAAAAGTTAGCAGTCTTGAAGGATTCAGAAAGGGAACGGGTATCTATTAGGGTCATGTGCCAGATCGCGAGCGATTACGCGGCTACACAAAGTACACCTTTGCCAGGCTTACAGGGATTTCCCTTTTGTTTGTAGATGACACAAAAAAAGAAGATATTTAGCTGTAAACTTGTACCTGGGGGTTTTCAGGGTCGGTGAATCGACTGAGCACGTTTATTGTATTAGATCAAGTCCAATTTGCTCAAATTTAGTTGTGTTTATGGCATCATAAAAATGAATCACAAGAAAATCCCCGCATCAAACTTTTGCAATCTCGAGAAACGAAAGCGGCTTACTCTGTCTGTTTTCTCAATTCCTATTTTGGTCATCAGATCATCAGAAAAAGAGATCCATAGACGATCAACGAAAAAAAAAAAAGACAAAAAAGACAAGAGAGAGTCGATTCTTGGAAAGATTTCCTCATTTTCACAAATCCCTTTTTTCAATGAACTAAAGAACAAGAAGTATAAAAGATCTCAAATCCAAACACATGCATTGGTTTCCTTTTCTGGAAGTGAAGTGATTATTTCACCTCCTCTTTCCCCCATTTTCCTGTCACCCGGGAAACGAAAAACACAAAAGCGCTTTTTGAAGTGAGATTTTGAAAAGACCAGAGAGTTATTGTCCATCCATTTTTTTTTTGTCCAAATATTGAAACTGAAAACAGACGTGTTGACTTCATTGGATTTTTCGATTTGCAAATTTTCTGCTTTATTCTTTTGCAATGAACATTCTAATTGAGGTGTACTTTGTGCTGCAATGTAAGCAACTCAGCGCCAAAAGGGATTTGTTTTGGTCGATTTGACCAATCGACTACCACTTCTAGCCTTACCCTTCTAGCCTTCTAGCCTTCAAGGCTAAAGCTCATCTTTTCAACGCTCGTATGAGATCATTTGCTAGATTTCCTTTCAATTAGCTTGGAAAAAGAGTCACAAATTTCCTGCAGACTTCCTCTATTCAGTTATTCGCTTCATTCATCTCATTCTTGAAGAGAGCTTTGGGTAGACTTGTTAGCTAGTTAATGAAGAACAGAAAGATGTATCCAAAGCTATTGCAACTATTATTGATCATTATTTCTCTCTCGTTGCCTTGATTGAAATCATTTTTATATCAATTGATAGAGGAAGATATGACAAATCTAATGATGCCAAAGTTATTTCAATCTGGCAACTTAACGCTAAGATTTTTGAGTTTAAAGTTAGATTTTAAAGCGAGCTGAATGTCAAATGTCGTATAAACTCTAAAATTCACTTGATTTCTAACGCCTTAGACTATTCTATTTAGTCAATTTTAAAGGCAAAGACTGCCATTAGTTTGTTAGAAACGCCGTGGCTATGTTTTGAACGAGATTTTACTTGATACCATACAAAAAAGCTCAATTCAAACCCCCCTGAGCACTTGTAGCACTCAATCTCAACATTTTTCCCAAAGATTACTCACTTTTTTCCATCTCACAAGATCTATCTTTCTTTCTTGAAGCCTTTCATTATTTTTGATGTCACCCGGGTTTAAAACTTGCCATTGTTCGGCAGATCAAAAACTCATGCACTCCCGGGACTCGAACCCGTGACCTCCCGCTTACCCGACAACGGTGCTAACCATTACACCACAACGTACTTGTTCCGCTCGCTCTGGAGGGTGTTATCTCTTTCGTGTCTTTACATTTCCAATGATTAGCCATCATTTCCCATCTTCAGAATGCCTCAACCGTGCGGGGTTTGTGGGGATTCTCGTGGAGTCACCAAATGTTATGGAGGACAAGTTTGCGGGTTAGTTGACAGCTAGAAACTCTTTCGAAAACAAATTCCTTCACTATTTGAGGCTTGAGTGTTCTTTGTGACTTTAGCAAAGTCAAGAATGACATCAGCATTCTAAAAAAAGATTACAGTTTACAAATAATCTCATTATTCAACGAAATTTCATTAAATCCACACTTTTTTCATAATCTAGTCGATTTCTTTTGCAATCTAAGTCAATACATAAAGATGTACATAAAGATGTACATAAAGGGTACATAAAGATGTACATAAAGATGT